CCGCCCGCCGCACGCAGCGCCCCCTGCCGGCCGGCCCGCGCCGCAGCCCCGTGGCGGGCAGGACGCGGGGCTCCGCAGGCGGCGTTGCCGCAGGGTACTTCCAGGGTTGGGGGTCCCAGGCGGTCTGGCCTTGTGCGGGGAGAGCAGGGCGTATAGGCTGGGCAAGGGTCGCCGTGGCTGGGGCTGGGCTCAGCGGCCACTCCCTGCCCCGCAGTGCTCGCTCTCTCCTTGGGCAGGGGAAGACAGCGGGATTCTGAATCTTAGATTTTCAGAACCAAACCTCAGAAACAGCCTCTGTTTCCTTTCCTTACCCACCCCCGTCTCTGCAATAATAATAATAATAATAATAATAATAATAATAATAATAATAAATAAAAATAATAAATTACTTGCATTTAATGAACATTTGCTATGTGCTGGCCTGCGCTGAGCACTTTACAGGGGTTATCTCATTTAGTCCTCTCAGGGACCCTACCAAGGAGATACTACGATGTGCATTTCAGACATGAAGAAACTGAGGCTCACTGACAATATGTATTGTGTGAGGAAGTGCTCTCCCATATAACTTCCTGATGCAAATGTCTCCTGTGTTGTCCAATTTGATAGCCACTAGCAATATGTGGCTACTGAGCACTTGAAATGTGGCTTTTGAATGACTGAGGAACTGACTTTTCAATTTTATGTACCAATAATTTTAACTGGTTCAGATTTAAATAGCCACGTATGGCTACGGTATTGGACAGCACAGGTCTAAGCGTTTCGAGGTAATTAAGGCCAAAGCCAGCATTCAGAGCCAGATCCTGGCAGACCCGGAGCCCGCCCTCCCAGTCCCGGCTTCCCTGTATGGTCGTGTGAGGCCTGAAGGTTCTACCTCCAGGCACGTCCTGGGTAAACCCACCACCCTTGTTCCTCTGTCTCCACCCTCTGAACGCCTCCTCATCTCTGTCCTGCCCAAGTGCACAGCCTCTCTCCTCACTGCTCCTTATAATCTTCCCAAATCACTTTTAAAAAAAAACACGAATCAGATCATGTCATGCCTTTGCTAAAACCTGTCATTTCCCTGAGTAGCACAGTACCTAAACCTCTTTCCCTGGTTCCTGAGGCCTTGTATGACCTGCTCCTGTTTGGACCACTCCTGACCTCATCTCTGCCTTTTCTCCCCGTTGCTCCCTACGTCACAGCCAGCAAGGCCTCCTTACCATCAGTCGAACATGCCAGGCCCACACCTGCCACAGGGGCTGGGCACATTCTGTTCCATCGGTCTGTGATGTTGACCCCAGGTGGCTGGTTCTTTCTCAGCAGTCAGGGCTCAGCCCACACATCACCTCTCTGACACCCTACCTAAAGCAGTTGCCCCTCCTGAGGCCTTTTTTTTTTTTTCTCACCGTAAAAGAGGTTTATTTATTGGGTTGTTGGAAAAGTCATGACGCATTTTTGCGATGAAAAACATAGGAAAAAGACGTCATGACTTTTCCGACAACCCAAGAGTTTGTGTTACTATCCTTCTTCTGGCTCTGAGGCTAAGAAGCCCCATGGGGGTAAGACGTTTTTCCCGGCTTGGCCATTGCTGTAGCTTCAACACTAAGAACCTGGCACATAGTAGGTGCTCAATACGTTCTGTATTGAATGCATGGACAGTGGCATCTTCAAATTGAAAATTCTCAGACCTCAGAAACCTTGGCAGCAGGGAATTCTGGAACCCCAGACGCAGCGAACCATCTCACTGCGTAATGGCTCAATTTGCTGCCTCTCCAGATCCTCAGACACAGCAAGTCAGAGCTGGAAAAACCTACGGCTTCACCCCTGTTTGACAGGCCATGAAACCGAAACTGAGGGCCAGAGGAGTGGGAGGACTTGCAGGCCAACCCAGTCGTCGGCCTAGCCGTCCTGGAGCTCTCAGCTCTGCCTTCAAATGGCATCCCAGAGGAGAGCGGGGCCACGGGCTGGCCTGCTGGGTGGGGATGGGGTGAGAGCTGGGGAAGCGGCTCCCAACCAGGCTGCCCGCCCCCTCCTCAGTAGCCAGCCATGGAGGAGGGGGAGCCGGTGCCTGAGCCCCAGATGTGGCCCAGTCAGCAGGCCTGTGGTGGCCCACAGAGGAGGGTCAATGCCACGATAGTTCTCGAGCTAGGGGAGGGGGTGCCCAGGCCGGCGTGTGCCTCACAATGAAGTTTTGTCCCCCAGGGACCTCAAGCTGTTGCTCTTAGATATATAGAATGGGATTTTGCTGGAGGGCCCAGCTGTGTGTGCTCCCCCCGAAGGGGCCGGGCTGAAAGGGGGGAGAGGGCCACACTGAGGCGTCTATTCTTTTCCAGCTGATACACCCCAGAGGTTTTACTCCCTCTGCAGCCTCCCTTAAGACAATTGTTATTCTCTGCTGTGCCTCTCCCCCACCCGGGTCAGGCCTGCCTGCGGACAAAGTAGACTCCCGCCTACGCCGTGTGATTTTTTTAAATGAATTTATTTTAGGAGTTGCCTGGGACCAGCTAGAAAACCAGCTTCTTTATAAGCCTCCTTGACCCGCAGTTCTTTCCATCCCATTCCTCGTGGTGCCAAAATGTCCACCATTTAAAGGCCAGCCCGGCGAGCTAAGCCTTGCCCTTGGTCATTAAAGAGTGGTGGTGGTGGTGGTGGTGGGGAGATACGTGTATTTTATCCTCAACACCCTAGCTCCTCAGGCTGGATTATTCAGTCTCTGGGTAGTCTTGAAGTTGGACGAGGTAGGATGGCGTCTCCAGATAATCCTGTGGGAGCTGGCATGGTTAGGGGGTTCAGGCCCTGCCATCTCCTCTGACTCCATGAGGCCGCTGAGCAAAGGAGCATTGTCCCAGGGATTTTCATCTCTGGCCTGGGGGAAAGGGGTGACCGAAATGTTCCAGACTCGAGGGCTCAGCCGAGTCAAGGCTGCCACCCCCAACTCACCTGGCTGGGGCGGAGGCTGGGGCACAGCAGTGGTTGGGGCTGGTGGGGGAGACCCAGGGAGCCTTACATCACCAGAGGAGTCCCCATCTGCACCCCCTCCCCACCAAGCCATAATGAGTGAGGGACCGAGACTTCAGCCCGGGCCCAGCAGACGTGGCTGTCCCCTGTTGCTGGCTCAGCCATTCTCCAAGGCCTGCCCTCTGGTTCTCGGAGGCCTCATTTATAAATCAGCCCGTTATTCCCTCCTCACAGTGCACGTCAAGTGCCAGGGAAGTGATTGATAAAGGGTGTTTTCTACGATTCCAGGTTAGTTTCCAGTATCTAAGCACTAGCCCTTGAGTGGCAGTAGGGCCAGGAGGAGGTGTCAGGACAGAAGGCAGCCCTGGGGAAAGGGAGGCAGGGTCTTCAGGGTTAATGAGTAACCAGCTGGAGGCCAGCCCAGGAGAGGGTGGGGCTCAATCCACTGGCAGGCCTCCCTACTGCAGGACTCCAGGCCTCCATGGGCCCCCACAGCCCTGGCATCCGCCCATTTTACGGAGGAAGCCCAAAGGGTGGTCAGTGGAAATCCAGAGAGTCTGTGAGGCCAGGAGCACAGCTTCTCTTGACTAGGATGAGAGGGCACAGCTGGGTCTGGGGACCCTGCAGGGTAACCTCCCTCCCATCTCCTTTGAAGCTGAGATGGAGGGACCATCCAAGAGTCCTGAGTGGGCACTGGGAACCAGAGCGCCAATCCAGCCCCTCCCAGAATTGCCCCTCATGAGAGCCCTTCCCTACCCCACACTCTGGCTGTGCGACCTTGAGCAAGTTACAGGACTTCTCTGGCCCTCAGTTGCTTCTGTTTCTGCTCCTCTAATTGGATAGGATAATTTGCAAATCAAATGAGACTATTGGGTGAGTAGAACCTCTGAAAACCATTAGGTAAAGGTAGAGGCCAGAGTCCTAGGCTGGGAGGCCTGGGTTCTGGTCCTAGATCTGTCCCCACCGTCGGAGTGACCTTGAGCAGGTCTTTGCCCTTATCTAGCCTAAGTTTCCTCTTCTGTTCAGAGTGGACTTGGGTGAAGACAGGCACTGTTCTATCACCCTCCCGAACCCCTCACCAAGTAGGGTCACTCTAGACTCAGGGTGGGAGGGTGGACAGTGTAGGGAAAGGGAAGGTCAAGGTCAAGTCAAAGCTTGCAGGTCACAGCGGGACTGGCTGGAGGAACAGCACCACCTGGTGTGTGGAGAGCACAGGCCTGGGCATGCGGCTGCCATGAAGCCCAGCTGCCTGCCCACCTTGGCTCTGCAGCTGCTCCCCAGTCCTCACTGTCTTGGAGCCAGGCTGGGCTGGGGTCCCTGAGGTGCCCTGGGCCTGGCCAGGTCTTTTGCATGCTCCTAGGGAAGCCCTCGGCAAAGACGTCCAGTGGCCCCTACATTTCCGTGTGACCCAGCTGAGGCGTTTAGTGGAGTCCTCCTCCCCTGCCCTAGCTGTCAACTTTGGGCAGAGGGGGTACGCAATGTCAGACCAGCCTGGTACCCCAAGTGCTGGCTCTGAGGCCTTGGACGGTTTACTTACCCTCTCTGAGCCCCAGACCCCTCAGGGAGGAGAAAGGGGCTAACAAGCCCCATCTTCCAAGGCTCCAGTGAGGTCAGCTCGATCCCCTGGCACACATCTCACACAGGCGGGACTCTCATTCAAAGGGGGTTTCAAGAATCTGGTCTCTGTGACTCAAAGTGTCGTCCTGGATCAGGGCTTTGACAGCAAGGAGAGCCCAGCGTCTCAGAGGTCCCCTCCCACCACTCTGCCACTGATATCAGCAGCGAGCCCCCTAGCCCCACCTGCCGGGAAGAGAAGTCACTCAAGGCAGCCAGCGTGCTTTTACATCCAGTTTATACACAGCTCTGTACAATATACAGAAACCTCTATATACAGATATATTTATAGAATAAGCTATATTAATTTGTCTCTCCTTTTTACAGCAATATTAGTTTGGATCTTTCATACATTAAGTACAAAAAAAGTTATGGGAGAATGGCACGTAGAGTGCATGGTGTCCGTGGGGCCTGGCTGCTCACTACCAATTGCATATGGAGGTTCCCCAGGCCCCTGGGAGGACAGGCCAGCGCCCAGCTGGGAGAGCTTGTGCTGCAGGTATGGGGGACAGAGTAGGTATAGGGCTGAGCCGAGCTGGGCTGAGGGGGGTGGCTCAGACCCCCCCAAGTGTGGTGCAGGAAGAGGGGGCAGGTTAGGGGTGGGCTGACCCTGGGGCACCCAGGGCTGAGTCCAAGTCTGCCCCAGCCCCAAGCCTGGAACCTTGTGCGGCTGCAGCCTTGGGGTGGGGAGCCTGTCCCTGATGGCTCAGTCCTGGGCATGGGTGAGTGCCACGCCCCCTTAGAGGTCCCAGGCCCACCTTGGCAGAGGAGGAGTTAAAAGGCCAGACCCTAAGTCTCCCTGCTATTGGCTGGGGTGCTCGTTGGAACGTTACTCTGATTTACAATTTGTCTTTTTTTTTAAGTTCCAAGAGCCACTGATTTGTCTTGCTTCTGTGCTGGGCCCAGGCTATGCCAGCAGCAGGGCCCTCAGCAGGGCAGGGTCCTGGAGCCTGGTGAGGAGTAGGAGTCACAGAGTGAGGGAGACCCAGCTCCCAGGTCTCTGTGTTCATCTGTCAGGGTGGGCAGGGGTCCCAGGGCAGGGGTCCCAGGGCACAGGCACCAGATACCAGTGATCATGAAATGGGGGGTCTTGGCTAGGGATGCCTAGATGACTCAGGGAGGCAGTGGACAGGCCCAGAGTTGGGGGGGGGCATGCCTCCGAGGAGACGAAGGCACAGCGATGGTCAACGCCTCGGCACAAGTTTTCCAGACCAGGGGTCAGAGCAGCGGGTGAGACAAGGAGAACGGGCGATGGCCAAAACTGAGCTCGCCTGCAGCCCCCAGCCACATCACGTTCACTGGCTGTTCTCTTGGCAGACTAGGGAGGGGGCAGCAGGCAGGCAGGTGGGGTCGGGTGGGGTGGGCACCCCAACAGCCCCTTCCTCAGGAACGGTATACACTCATGCACATGCACACACACGCCCCACGCGAGCATGCACAACCTCCCCCACTTGGCCTCTGGGGCAAGGCCTGGTCTCTGCCTCCCCAATCCAACTGGGAAAGAACCCCTCAAGTGGGGGATGTGGAGACCTCTGGCTAAGCCAGGAGAGCCCCAAAGCCTGACCCTCCTGTACTCCCCCAGCAGTGAGCAGGGGGTCTCTAGACGGGTCCCACAATGCCCTACTCTTGGCCCTGCTTCCTGTCAACAGAACATTCGGGGTGGTAGGGAAGAAAGCGCTGCCAGAGCCCAGGCCGGTGAGGAGGGGCGTCAGGGGAGTGGAGGTGTGTTTGGTTTCAGATCCCAGGGCCTGGGGCTGCCTAGGCATGGGGGGGGCGGGTATGATATGAAGGGGGTTCCATGGGGCCCTCAAAGGAAGAGGGTTTTCCGTGCCCTCCCTCCCAGGGCACTGACTCTGCAGCGAGGGGTGGTCACACCTGTGCCATCCACCTTTTGAATGGCCAGGATCCCTGGGAGTAGAAGGCAAGCCAGAAAGTAAAGGGAAGGCGGGGCAGGCCTAGGTGCCCAGAGCCTACTGACAGAGGGGTCAGCATGGGGGACACCAATCGGAGAAGGGGCAGTCCTGACTCCACCCTCCTCCAGGCGCCTCTAGGCCCCTGCGCTGCTCTGAGGGGAGCTACTGAACACATGATTGGGGTAGGGGGCGTGCAAGCCCAGGACACGTCCTGAGCCCAGCCCAGCAGCTTCTGTAAACATACACAGCACTGTGGGCCACCTTGGTGGGGGGTCACCCCAGGGGCTGGCCAGCAGGCACCAGATCTGGGGCGTGGCCAGGGCAGATGCCAGCCTGGACCACAGATGAGAATTGTGTGGGGAGGGGGCTGCTCTCCATCTTGGTCCTGGGAGAGCAGCCAGAAGGCAGTGATAGGGAGTCAGAATGCCCACTGCCTGTCCTGAAATAGGGGGCACCAGGATGCCCCTCGGGTCAGGCTGGCAGGCCGCGCCATGTCCTCCCTGCTCCCTGCCCCTCCCCTTTCTGAAGGGCCCAGATCCCAGCTGCCTTGGCTCTGGGGGGTCCTAAGCTGAGGTAGGGATGGGGACCCCCAGCTCAGCAGCAGTGCCCCATGCCGGAGGCTGAACTGGTCTCTGGGAGCCTCTCCTCAAAGCTGTCCGGCTCTGGGGGCAGCCACCTGGATGGAGCCCGAGAGGCCACCTGCTCTGGCCCAGGCCTCAGCTGGCAGCCACTCAGGGTGCTAGCGTGCCGAGATAACCAGGTCATCCTGCTTGGTGGGGCTGGCCCCGCGGCTGGTGGGGGTAGAAGTCCGGATCTTGTCCACTGCCAGGCACTCCTGGCTGCTGAGGCCCGTGGGAGTCAGGTCCATGAGCTCGCCTGAGGAGCTGAGTGGGAAGGAGGGCGACAGCGAGATGCCAGAGGAGGGGTCGGCTGAGCCCGCAAAGCGCCTCGGGGGCTTGGGCACCAGGTTGGGCTCGAACTGGGCTCGGAGCAGGATCTCTTGCTGGCTGGGGGACTTGGGGCCCTCTGCGTAGTCGCTGGTGGGGCTCTCAGGCACCACCATGCAGTACAGGTCCTGGAAGGAGCTGCTTTTGCTGTCCAGGTTGAAGAGGCTGTCGATGAACTCGGCAAACTCCAGCACCTGAGGGCTGGGCGAATCCCCCAGGCGCCCATTGTGCAGTGCCAGTTCTCCACGGGAGGCCACCCTGCCACCCCCCTCTTCCTCCTGGTCATTGGCCACCGCGCTGGGGGGCCGCTCCGGGGTGGCGCCCCCGCTGCCCAGGGCCGCCTCCAGGGGCTGGGTGTCCTGTGAGTGCTTGGACAGGCTGTCGGCTGCCAGCAGCTCCGTGCGTGAGCTCAGGGACGGGTTCTCCTCGGGGATAGCCGGGTCTATGTAGAAGAGGTGGCCCTCATCGCGCTCCAGCACGGCATGGAGGCTGGGCGAGCCGCGGATGCTGCGGAAGCCGGAGGATCGGCGGGAGTCGAAGCTGTACAGCGACTCCGTATCTGAGAGGCTCTCCATGGTGGCCAGTGGCGCCCGCCGTGCCTGCAGCTCTGCTGCCAGCCGCTCCTGGGTGGACAACAGCAGCAGCTCCACGGGGTCCTGGCGGGCTGCTGCGGCCGCCGCCACTGGGGACAGCAGCTGCCCCTCTGAGAAGCCCTCCAGGCTCATCTCAGACTGGGACTTGCTCCTGCAGAGGGCAGGGCAGGGAGGGAGTGAGACTCAGGAGAGCACAGAGACCGACCCCCAGCTCCCTGCTGGAGGGAACTTGAGGTGGGGGGGGGGAGGGGGAGGGGAAAGTCCATTTAGCGATGGTTGAACTGTTTGGGGCAGGGACCCTTATTCAAAAAAAAAAAAAGAAAAAGAAAAACCCACAAGAAAACCAAGACAGAAGACAGCTGATGCTGGCTTAGCCAGGGTGGGGGCCCTGAGGGCCTGCGGCCCCGCTGGGAGCACTAGGGCTCCAGGAGCACTGCTGGGGAATGGGCGCCGATGCCCTGTCACTGCAGCAAAGGGAGACTGAGGCCCAGAGACTGGCTGCCCCACGTCACTCATGAGGCAATGTGGAAGGGGAAAGGGAGCACTGCCCAGAGCTGCCCCGGCTGGCCTCCCCGCTCAAGGCCAGCACCACTCTGTGCCGCTCCCAGAGCTCTAGCCCTCCCTTCCTCACACGGGGGCTCGTCCTGCCTCGCCCATGGAGCATAGCCCTCTGCTAGACAGGAGCCCTGGCGCAGAGCAGAGCGGGGGTGCAGCAGTTACTGTGGAGAGAACGGACACTGGCTCCCTCATCTGGTCATGCAGTTGCCACAGGAAATGCACAAAAGGTAGGGAGAGCTGTCCAGGTGCCCCACCGAGGGCAGAGAAACAGTTGGTCACCATTCTCAGCAGCCTCTTGGACAGATCTGTGCCCTCCCTGGGCTCCGGGCACAGGCAGGAAGGCCCAGAGAGGTAGGAAGATCCCCACTTAAGAACCCAACCCCCCCCCCAAACATTGCTGTGAATGTGGGGTGTGTGTCTGGGAGCATGTGTGCATGGCTCTGTGTTTATGTCGCCAGCGCACATACTAACTGTCTGCGTGTCCGCTGACCCACCTGTGTGTGGCTGGGTTTGGGCATTTATTCATTCACATACAGGGCTGCCTGTCCAGGTGTGTCCTTGTGTGTGTGTATCTCGGCCTCCGTCTTGGTGTATGTCTGTCTATATGGAGCTGTCTGTTCTGAGAGCTACTTGTGAGGCAAGCCTGCATGTGTGAGCTTCAATACAAATGCACAGACACACGTGTGTGCATGGAGGTAAGTGCATGGGTGTCCGTATGTTTGGGTCTAAGTGGGTATGAGTGAGCCTATGTGTTTGTGACTAAGAGGCTGTGTGTCCCTACATGCCCACTAGTCCATGTGGGCTTCACTGATGGCAGGCTGGGGGGAGGGGACAGGGGGAGCAGGGCGGGAGACAGCCCCAGCAGAGGGCACAAGTTCACCCCCTTGTGCACGTATGTGCAGAGCTGCTTGAACATACGGGCTAGGTCTGCACATGGGATGCACACTGCACAGGCATATGTGCTCTGAAACCACACTCGTGGCCGCTGCATGCACACTTTGGGCTGGGGCTGGGGTGGGCGGGATTCACCTGACGTTGCTGTTCCGGTGGTCTGTCGCGGGCAGCTCCAGGGCGAGGCCGGCGGGCACGGGTGGCCCTGTGGGCAGTGGCTGCTGCTGGAAGATGAGCTCAGGAGTCAGGTCCACCTCGGTGGGGCTCACCATGACCTTAGCTGCAGAGAGCAAAGCCGTCTTCCCCTTGTTGTAGTTCTCCAGCACCTGGGGACAGGATGGGGAAGCTGGTGGTGGTGGAGCGGTGACAACCACGTGTGGGGGCAGGGCAGCAGGCCAGGCCAAAGAGGCCTGCACGGGTCAGCTGGGCTCCACTCTGCTCTCCTCGGGTCCCTTCCCCTCCAGGAAGGCTGGGGACTAGCCCTGCTACTGTGCCTCTCCCCAAAGATGGGTCAGGGTGCTGGTTTCCTTCCCTGTGGTCAGCCTCCATGGGCAGATGATGGCCGAGGCTGTCCCTGCTTGGCTGTGCATCTGTCAAGTGCCAGGTGGCCTTTAGGGCCTTTGAGCTCAGCGTGCCTCAGGGACAGGTCCCTGGGAGTTTCCTAAACTCCTCCCCACCACGGGGCCACGTGGCGATGTGGACAGAGCAGGGGTGCAGAGGCCAGAATATGAGTGGGCTCTCTGGCCCCACTGCAGCCCAGCTGGGGACTCTGGCTAACTTCTCTGCGAGTCCACACTCTTGCCTATAATATGGGGACAGATATGGCTCGCAAAGCACCGCGGGGCTCTGACGAGGTGCCAGCGCCCAGGGCTGCCCAGGGGCTCACCTTGTTGAGCCCCTCCATTACCACGTAGGGCAGGTGCTCGTGCAGCATGGCTGGCGAGATGATCACCTCATTGAAGGCCTTGTTGTCGCCCCAGATGGCGAAGTACGTGGGCTCCTCCTGCTCACAGCAGCTGAGGGGGCACAGGGGCCAGAGGGAAGCTGCGGGTGGGTGGCAGCCTGACCTCGGCCCCCAGGCCCTGGCTCTGCTTTTCCTGGCTCAGCAGGGGTGGGGTGAACTTGGAGGACCCCTGCCCAGCCTGGTCAGCAGGGCTGCGTCCCTGCACTTCTAGCCCAGCCAGGAACAGAGGCTGGAAAAAGCTGACCTTGAGCCTCAGCCATAGTCCCTGCACAGCCATCTACAAGCTTGAGGCCTGGGCCGTGCTTGCTCTGCCCTGGGTAGTGCCCAGCTCGCAAGCCTTTCTCAGGGCAGGCAGCCATCGCTGGAGGAGGGTTCCGGGCCCAGGCCTCTGAACAATCATGACAGCGGCAAGGTCAAGGACTGGCCCATCCTGTTCTCTGTCCTGGACACCCCGCCCCCCGCCCTTGCTCATAGCTGTCTACCACCTATCCCAGAGGTGATGCCAAGTGACAACTGAGGTATGAACTGGCCAGGGCCTTAGGGTGACCCCTCCAGGGGATCCACTTTTAAATGGACCACCAGTGGGGAGAATTGCCCTAGGGAACACCAGGGAAGGCTGACACTGGGGACAAAGGCTGGGACTGTCAAGAGAGGAGCCTGCTGTCCTGCTCCAGACCACCTTTTTGTTCCTCTTCCAGGGCCCAAGGCTGAGACAACATACCCCAACCCCCGACCCCAGTGGGTGCCCTGGGCCACTGTCTCCCAGCCTCCACCCTCAGCCCCAAGGGGTGACTGAGCGAAGGCTGGCTTGTCCAGTCTCCAGGACGGTGCAGCCCCTGGCCTGGCTACTGCCACCCCCAGCTGACTGGGATCATGGGCAGCACCTACCAGCACTGCTCTGCTGGGTGGTTGTGGACCACGTGGATGATGCGGCCGGGTGGGTAAAGTGGGGTGCTGGCCGACAGGGCAATGGTCAGGTCGCTGGGGTGGGTCCAGAGCCGAGTGCTGGCCAGGGTGGTCACCTCCACCTCCTCAGGCAGCTCCGACTTGGGGATGCATTTAGTGGCCCCCACGATGATTCGCCACTGTGCAAGTAGGGGGGAGATGGGGACAGCTGAGCAGCGCTGGCTGGGTGAGCCGGGGCAGAGGTGCTCAGACGGAGAGCTCATAGGTGACAGGTGGGAGCTGGGGTGGCCATGGGGCAGAGGGAAGGGCAGTGCCCACCTCAAGGAGCAGTAGCTGAGGTGGATGGCAGTCATGAGGGCCAAAAGGACGCCAGGGACAGGTGTCATGGAATTGCTAAATTTCAGGGCTGGAAAGGGGCTGGAGGACCCCTCAACCCCTCATCTAGTGGATGGGGAAACAGGCCAAGCAAGGGGAAGGGACTTGTCATTCTGTCCCTTTAGAGGCAGAACAGACCCCTAAATTCAGTCCAGCTGCACCCACCAAGCCTGGCCACCTCTGGGTTGGTTCCCAGCCACCTGCCTCCAGGGCCTGACAAGTGCCCAGGACTGGGTCTCACAGGAATCAGGCTCCTCTAGGCAGACACGGTCCCCTAAGACTTCACTGCCTGGCCCACCCCTGGCACCTGACACCTGGCCCAGGGCCCTGCCTGCCAGAGGGTCAGGGGCACCAAGGCTGGGAAGAGTCCACACTGGGCTGAGGCAGCAAATGAGGTGAGGGGTGGGGGCACGGAGGGCCCGCTGGTCCAGGTTGGCCCCCTGCTGCCTGCCTCCGAGTGCCTGCCACAGCAGATCCCCCAGCCTCCCCCTGGTCTGGCCTACTAAAGGCCAGCTTGCCTCAGGAAGAGCCCCTCAGTGTCCTCGGAAGAGCTGATGAGGGATTAGAAAGGGCTGCTCCTCTCCTCTCGCAGCAATGGAAGATCAGAGCAAGCTCCACCCCGATCTCCCCAGGTGGGCGCCAGCCCCCCTGAGCTGGGAACCACAGCGGGCTCTGGAAGAGGCTTTCCTGTCACACACTTAAAGCCCGGAGCCTTGGGGATAGCTTTCTCCAGATTTTAGGCAGCTCTGCAGGACAGCAGCCAGGACTCAGGAGCCCTCAGCTGGAAACTGACTCAGTTACAACTTGTGTGAGCAAAAGCATGTTCCTCGCCCACTCTGGGTTTCCCCATTTGTACAAGGACAAGCAGGGGTCAATGGGATAAGCTCAGAGATGTTGAAGGACTGACAGCCTGAGGTTCCCAGGACACCAACCACACCCCAGCCTGGCCTCCTGTGGCTGGGGCCGCTGTGCTTTGTGCCGAGGAATAGGCAGGGCACAAGACATGCAAGAGACCCAGAGCCAGGGTGCCCCGGCAGAAGCGAGGCGAGGAAGCTCACTTTGGGCTTGGTGCTTCGTTGCAGGACATCCAGGAGCTGTCTGCGGAAGCCTTCCAGCTGGGAGAGGCCGATCCTGGTGGACGAAGCAAGATGGGAGTCAGCCTGGCCCAGCCAGGGATGCGGAGGGGTACAGAGGGAAGGGCAGCAGGGGCAGGCACACGCCCAGCGCCCAGTAACAGGAAGACCAGGCAGCCAGTGTCAGGACCAAGCCAGGGAAGGGATGCCAGGTGGGCGGGTCCACCTTGTCCTCTCAGCTTGGGTACCTGAGGGTGGGAGAGGGCCCTGGGGTCCTCCACGGAGATGGGAATCTGAATGACAGAGACTGGAGCCCGAGTGCGGTCCTGAGAGGGAGGAATACCCCAGGCTGGGATGGTGGAGACGGGGAGCAGTGACTTGCCTGGGGACGAGGTCTTTGCCCAGAACCACGGCTGTCACAAATTCTTTGGAGTATTCCATGGCGTCCTCACTGCAAGGGGAGCAGAGGAGGCGCTCAGGTGGGGGAGGACACCATGTCCCAACACTCCTGGGGTTATTTTCTAGACTCGAGGCCCCCTGGGGAGGTCACAGGTGCCAGGCTGGGCTGCCTGCTCCTGTCCCACCCTTCCTGCCAGTAGGGCTTTGCCAAAGGTAGATCCGGGGCCCTCCTGGCATTTGACAGAGCCTGCCTCCACTTACCAGGCCATTCCCAGGCCCCCACTGACCAGAAGCCAGACTGCCAGGTCCAGCCCCCAGCTCCAGCCAGCCAGAGCCCTGTCTCCACCCTGAGCCCCAGCCAGCCCCAGCCAACTCCGAAGCCCTAGGCAGCTCACCTCAGCAGGCCCCCTGGTGGGGAGTAGGCAAAGCACTTGAGGGTCGGGTACTGGGGACGCAGGAGGAAGGAGAGGATGGCAGCGGTGCCTGCACCCAGGGAGTGGCCCACCACAATCAGGCCATAGTGTTTGGTTCCACGGCCCTGGGGACCAAGAGAAGCCTGAGAGCCCTGCCCCACTGCCTGCCAAGCTGACATCTTACTGATACCAGGGAGGCAGGGGGTCTTCCCAGAGACCTGGGATCATGTCTGTGTTGCTTGGGTGCTGGGGCAAAGGAAGACCTAAGCTAGGCCCCCACAGAGAAACCTCTCAGGGGAGACTATTCTAACAAACTCCTACTCATCCTTCAAAACCTTGCTCAGAAGTTATCTCCTGGGAGAAGCCCTTCCTGATTTTCCAGGAGAGGCTCACTCCTTGCTAGACGTGGCATCTGTACCTGGGAATGACCTTTATATATGGTAATTACACTCTATGATAATCATTTGGTCGCCTGCCCCAATGCCTGGGCCCCAACAGCTAGACTAGGGTTGCCTGAGGCCAGGGACTGCTTGGTTTTGGGAAGGGCAGTTGGCGGCACCTCGGGAGCTGCCTGCACAGGGTGTGGGCAGTGGGCAGGGCCCAGATCACCCCCAATCAGAGCAGTTCCCCTTCTGTCTGCTCTGCAATTATTTTCTTTGTCATTCTGCTCTAGTTTGCAAGCCCCCAAGCTGGAGCCATCTTTGTGCCTCCACTGCCTGGCATAGAGCAAGTGCTTATAACCGGGTGGGGCTAAGCAGGACAGCCCAAGAGGAGCTGGTGCAAAAGAGGAACGGGTCAGAGGGGGCAGGAGAGACTGAGCAAGTGAGAAGGGGGCTGGGAGCCAAGGGCCGAAGGAAAGCGTGGGAGCCTGGTCTTCAGGGGCGGTGCCAGCATTCAGCCTTCCTGGCCCCCATCTGTTGCCTTGTCGGGGGAGAGCCACACGTGGCAAAGGCTTGGTGGCATGGGAAGCGCCTCACCAGGTCTCTCCCGAAGGCCTGGGACAGGACCATCTCCTGCTCCAGCTTCTTCTTGATGTACTCAGCTGAGAGGACCATTCCCTGGGTGAGGAGGAACAGAGATGGTGCTCGGAGAGGGGCCCGGGAGAGAGGTAGGCCTCTTAGGGATCAGCAAACCACAGGGATCTGCTGCTCACTACCCCATCCCACCTACTTCCTCCTTTGGTCCGCATCACAGCCTGGCTGTGGGGGCTGGTGGACACTTTATCACATTGTTTCCGTTTCACAGATGAGAAAACTGAGGCTCAGAGGGGTTGTATTAATAGAAACCAGTATGATATCTTCCTAGCTCTGCCTCCTCAGGCTATTCTGGGTCAGGATCTAGGCCAGGCAGGGCTGGGGTGGTCCTGGCAGGTGGGCCGCCGTCAACCTTCCAGATGAATCCAAACCTCTCTGACCAATCTCAGCCGGTGAGCCCACAGAGCAGGGAGGACCCCACTCTACCGACAGGACAGGTCTGTATGCTAGCGGGGGAGGAGAGAAGGCCAGTGTCCCTCAGGTGGGTACCTTGTGTCCCAGCCAGGTGCCGTGGTGTCCCTCCACGGGGAGGCGCTCGGCGTCACCAGTCAGGTCAGTCAGGGCGTCCTTGTGGGGAGAGAGAACAGGTGAGGGGCAGGGCTGAGGAGGACAGTAAGAGGGAAGCAGCACCCCATGAGGGCTGTGAGGAGGTTCCCAGCGGAGGGTGGGGAGCCTCGGGCAGTGTACCTTGGGGGACAGGGTTCCCCGAATACTGATCACCACCTTCTTCTTGTCATGGTCCACTGCCACGTAGAAGGGGGTTTCGTATACCTAGGAGGAGTGTGGCTCGTGAGCCCGAGTGCCATGGGATGGGGCCAGACTCAGGCAAGCGACCTAAGCAGCCCTCCTTCCCAGCCAGGGAATCTGCACGGCTGCCCGCCCGCCACCGCCACCATCACGGTAGATCCCTTCTGGCCCCGCTCACAGCCCACTCTGCCCTCCCAGCTCCTCCATTCTGATCAGCCCCGAGTGCTGCTGTCCCGCATGCTGTGTCCAGAGCACCCCTCTCCAGGGCCTCACTGCCTTTTTCCTCGATTCCTTTCCCCAAAGACTGGGGCCAAGGAGCCCCAATGTTGGGTGTGGGGTTAGGGTCCACTTCCTAGCCCCGGGGTGGGTGTGGGAGAAGGGCCCATCCCTGGTCTGCCTAGCTGGGGAGGTGTGGAGGCTGCTGCCGGCAGTGCCAGCAAAGCCAAGGGCTTCTGCTGCCTGGGAGAAACGCCTGGGCACCCACATCCTTGGCCACCTGCTCCTGACACCAGGCCGCAGCCTGCAGAGGACAAAAGCCGGGGCCACACCAGCCAGGCCAGCCCGCCCCAGCCTCTCACCGCATCGTGGCAGGAAGTGTAGACGATGTCCACGGCCGTCATGTTCTCATCCAGGAAGTGGCGGCGGATGGCAATGGCATTGCAGCCGCAGCAGTTGTCTTCCTCGATGGTAACTCCAGGGGCAAACCGGGGCCGCGTGGGGCACAGGCAGCACCTGGGGTGGGGTGGCAGGGGCTCAGAGCGAGGGACCCCCCCCCTCCCCATAGGGCAATATCCCCCTCTCGTTCCCTCTGGAACACACTCGTGCAGCCCACGCCCTCCCGAACCTCCCTGCGAAGTTCTACTGGCCAGTTCCCAGCCCTTGTCTCACTTGGCCTCTTGACACACGTGACCCAGGGGGCCTCCCTCCCCCGTGAGGTGCTCTCCGGCTCAGCCACGGGCACCCTCTCTCCTGGACTGGGTCTCCTTCCCTGGCAGCCTCCTCAGCCTGTCCTCTCCTGAGGCCCAGGGGTCAGCTCTGGACTCCTCTCCCCTCTGGCTACACTCGCTCCTGCAGGGCCTCATCCAGTAACAGGCTTTAATGCCATCTATGTGCTGATGAGCCGCCCAGACCTGCCCCTGGCCTCCAGATGCTCCCACCCAATGGCCCACGCGACATCTCCTCTCAGCTGTCCCACAGGATCGCAATCTCTCCAGGTCCCAGGCCCCGATGGCCCACTCCGCGTGCTCCCCACAGTCCTCCACAGCCTGCCTGCTCATCGCTCAGCCCCGTGCTCAGAGGCATCTTCGGGTCCCCTTCCCACCGCACACCCCACATCCAGTTGGCCAGCACGTCCGCTCGCTCCACCTTCAAATTCACAACCAGACTCCAACCTCTTTCCCTCACCTCCACCCCTTCCACCCTGCTCCATGCCGCCATTATGTCCGCCTTGGAGTGTCACAGGCTTCCTGACAGGTCTCCCTCATCTACATTGGCCTCCTATCACCTCAGCTAGGCAGCCAGAGTGACCCTTTGAGATGTAAGTCAAGCCATGTCACTTCACTGAAAACCCGACAATACTGCCCTTCTTGCCGTGTGAGCGCTGGATCCTTTCAGGGGCCAAGGGCCCTGCCCCATCTGGCCCTGACTCTGGCCTGCTGCCTCCGACGCCCCTCCGGTCCCAGTGGCCTTCCCTCAGACATGCTGGCCGTATTCCTGCCTCAGCGTCTTTGCACCGATGCTCACCCTGCCTGAAGCACTCTTCTGAATATTGCGTGAATGGCCTCTGCTGAAATGTTACGCTATGGTGAGGTCTGCCCTGGCCCTCATCTCACACAGCCAGGCCCCTGGCCAGTGTTCCCCGGGCCCGATGACACGCCCAGCTTATTTTTCTCCAAAGCACCCATCTGCTCTAAGGGGCTACATTTCCAGGTCTGTGCATTGTCTGCGCCTCCCCACCAGGCAATGGGCTTCAGGGTAGGCTTTGCTCTGCTTGGTTGACAGCAATGTCCCCAGCACCAAAAACAGCACCAGGCACAGAGTGGGCTCTCCTCCCCCCGCCCCCCCAACAAATGAATGGGTGAGCATCCAAGCTGGGCACCCAGCAAGGAGTGCAGCTGCTCCTCAGGCCACCAGAGGGAGTCAGCACCCAACAGATCAAGCCAGGAGCCATGAGAGCACATGACCCACCGCCTCCAGCTGTCTTGAGATGACAGCTGAGATTTTATTAAGAATCCTGAATTTCGGTGATGCTGAGAGGTTTGTCTTCACTCGAGTAGCACCTGAGGCATTGTTATGCACTTTGCAACGGGGAAAGGCCTTGCTGAGAAATCCCAGAGTAGAGCCAAACCTTGGAAGCCACTGGGTGACCACCTCAATGCATGCTGAGACAGCCCCCCAACGCCATGCCAGACCATGTAGGGGTGGGCCTAGGTCTGGGGCCCAGGCTCCAGTTCTCAGGCAGCAGCTGTCTGCTCTCTCCAACCTCAGCCCTCTCCGTTAGCACTGAGAATGTGGCCACCACAGTGTGGCCTTCAGAAATAGACCCGGGCTTGAGTCCATACTCTGGTGTGTCCCTTCCTGACTGTGAGGGCCTGGAGGGCACCTGGCCGCCCAACGCCTCAGTTTCCTCCTCTGTAAGGGTGAGTGCTGACAGACACTTCACAAGGCTAGTGTGAGATCAAAGGCCCAAGATGCAGAAAGGGCCCAGCATACAACAGGCACGCAATAAACGTGGCTCTTCCTCTGTCCAGCGAGAGGACTGGCTGCCTCTGAGGCAGCGAACCAGGGGCCAGAAGGACTGAGGAGAGCAGCAGGGCCAGCAGCCTGGGACGGAGGGGCCCGCTGCATTGTCAAGACCAGCACTCCTGCTGAGAGGAGACTGGGTGGCAGGGCCCTAGGCAAGCCTGGCTTGCCATGCTCTGTGTGGGACGGCAGAACTGCTGCCAGGTGAAAGGCCTGGGCCCATGGCAGGTGGGCAGCCCTCCTTCGCACGCTGGCGCTGGGACCCTGGGCTGCTATGGACAGGCTGGTCCTCAAAGAAGGGGGCACCGCCCTCTGGCTTCCATCCCAGCACCCTTGGCTACAGGCCTGGCCTTCAGGCGCGCCTCTTCTCCATCCCCCAGACACCTGGTTCTTCCAGGCGGGGACCCAGCTGGTCGCTCACGGGGTCTGAGGACCGTCTGCTCTCTCTCCCTGTATCACTGAGAAGCTGATATAAATGCCCACATCCCTCCTGTCTGCAGAATGCCTCGTGCCCAGCTTGCCAGTGACGCCCTGGCTTCTGAGATAGCCTACGGGCAGCCAGAACAGACACTGCCATGCAAATGATGCCCCCATCCTGCCAGGGAGGGAGGGAGCAGGGCCTGTCAGAGCCCTGGTCATGGGACTCCTGGGCCAGTGCTCTTTTTAAGCAGCTCTCTGCCGCAGCAGGAGCTCCCAAGAATGTGGAGAGGAATACCAGCTGTGTGCAGGCTGTCAAAGATGGGGAGGGGGCATGGGGTGCCCTGGTCCACTCTGTCACTCACCGGAGGGATGGTGAGAACGAGGTCCTGAGAGCCACACAGCTTTCTGTGGAAAGGAAGGCACTACAGGAGGAGGGTGGCTGCTGTGGGCCTCAAGGGCAGGGGTGTCGCAGATAGAAGCCGCCCGCCCAGCACGCCAGCCTTTCTGGAACAGGGAGCTAGGGAGCTGTCCTCCTTCTGCCTGGCCTGGGCTGATGGTGGAGACACCAAGGACGGGGAGGGCCCTCCTGGAGCTGTGCCCTCCTCTGGCCCACTTGGGAAAACAGAGTCCACCCCAGTCCCTGGCTGAGGGTGGTGCCCGGTTACAATCAGGTCCAGGGCTGAGGCCTTGCCAGCTCCCTGGGAAGAGCCTGTCACTGAAGGGCCTTCTCAGTGTCTTTCCAGAGAGGCCGCAATGGAGTGGGGCTCTCTACCAGGAAAGTCCTTTCTTTCGGAAAGGAAGAGTGCAGAAGGGGAGCAGGAGAAGGAAAGACGTGCGCAGAGGGGAGCGGGTGAGAGTGCCAGGGAAAGGGACGGGAGGGGATGGTAACCAGCAGGGCCAGATGCCAAGCAAGCTCTCACTTAATCCTCTCCAAACCATTCCAGGAGGTGTATATCCCTGTCCCCATTTTACAGATAAAGAAACTGAGGTGGGCAGAGGGAGACCGACTTGCCCAAGGCTGCAAGTGACAAAGTCTATATGTGACCCCAAAAGCCCATGCTTCTCCCTACCCAGGGCTAATGCTGGAACCAGGGAGGTCGAGGCCCAGAGACGGTGCGGAAGAGAAGCCTTCCCAGGCAGGCCTGGCATCGCGGCCTCGGCCCCTCCCCATACGCTGGCCAGCGGGGAGGACGGGGCGGTACTCACGAGCAGGACCGTGCCAGCTGGCAGAGGCCACAGGCGGGCTTCCGCATCAGGTACATGGGCCACCCGTAGGCAGCCAGCGCGAACAGCATGTAATAGCAGACCTCTTTGTAGCGGAGCATCTCTTGCTGGAAGAGAGAGATCAGAGGGCAGTCACCTCCTGCCCTTCCTGCCATAGCCTCAGGGCCCATGGGCTCCCCATGGGCTCCAGATGCCACCCCCCCACCTCCACCCCATAGGAGGGACCGCTCCTACAGATAGCTGCATTTCCCTAATTATCTCCAGGCAACCAGGGCACGTATCCTCCTGAGACCTGTCCTGTTGCTCCAATCTCAGAATTAATGATTTGGGGACAGAAAAACACACGGAGCACTGGGTCGATTTCCTTGCCCAGTTTCCCAAGAAGGGAAGAGAGGGGGAGGCATGAGTGGTCATCACCCCGCCTCAGCAATCAGTCCCTGGAAAGGGAGATTTAACCCTGAGAGGCCCTGGGCCCTCCAGCTGGAGTAGCTAGGCCTTGAGCAGCGGGGCCAGCCCTGGAGACACTGACAAGCTGGGTGACCAGACAAGTCACCACTCTGGGCCCTCAGGTTCTCTGTCTGTAAATATAGGGAGATTCCAGCCTGACGCACTGAGTCACTGGCTCCAAGAGGCGTCTGGGCAGATTGGGATCTCTCTGGGAAAGGCGCCAATTGGAAGCCTAGTGTCTGAGGCCAGTGGCTGTTGTTCCAGCCGCAGGGTTGGAGGGAGGCAGGAGGAACAGGTGTCCTGGGAAAGCGGATTCCAGCGTCCCGGTACCCCAGGCACTGGAAGACTCCTGCACTTAAAGGGACTTAGTCACCTTGTAAAGGTTCAAGAGGGTGATTAGTCATGTTGTGAAGTGAAAAAGATGGTGCCTTAATCAGGGCTCAGAGGGGTGGAACCCTCCCTGGGCGGCTCTGCTTGCTCTTCAGGAATGAGCTGGAGAAGACAATTATCCTCTCTCTACTTCGGCTTGAGGCTGCAAGGCAGGGACACTGGCAGCCTTTGCCAGGTGGCAGGCGGGGGACCCCAACACCTTGAGGCTTGGTTGCCTGTCTCGCCCCCTCCCCTCTGCAGGGAGAGCACCTGGAGTCGAGCGGTCAGATGGAGACCCGAGGCTTTTCCAAGAGGCTGAGATGTGAGGTTGAATCCTTTCTAGAAGCATCTGGACTGGCACCACTATTTACTGGTGGCGTGCTGGGAACTGGACTCAGGATGGCTCCCCACCAGAGCTCTGTGTGGAAGGTGTGCCCAGCGCCCTGTCCGTGTGTGGTAACAGGCTGGGGTTGGGAGGGAGGGAGGTCAGGGGCTTGCTCATGGTCACAGTGACAGCAGCAGGGCTGATGCACGCCCAAATGGGTTTGCTTCCGAGGCAGGGCCAGCTGCAGTTCAGCCTGGGCGGCACGGGACCGGCCCCAGCTTCCCTGTGACACACACACTGGATTTCTACTAAAGATGCTGGAGAAGAGGTTCTGCTATTCAAAAAGGCTTGGAAACCGAAGAGCTATGTCCCGCTGCCTTTTGTAACAATAGTAATGGCAGCAGTTACAATAGCAGCTCACCCTGGTAAAGCGCTTTATAATCCCCGGGGGCCAGGACCAAACATCCTGAGCATGGTCAAGCAGATTCAGGGGGTTCATTTGTAAAACCAGAGCTGTAGGGGTTCTTGGGACAAAGGGGGGGGGGTGACCCAAGAGGAGGGGCTGTCTGGAGAGCTGAGGTGGTACTCATGGTGGAGCAGGTGGTTTGCTCAGGTCATTCCGGCAGAGGGAGAGAAGGACCAGGGACAGGCGGGCTGGGGGTGGTTCTGACTCACCGAGTTCTTGAGGTCGAGGTACTTGGTGTTTCTCGTCACTGGCATCCCCGACAGGAATGCCAAGATGTCATTGTTGGCCTATAAAACAGGCGTGTGAAGGTGGTTGCCCCAGGCCCAGCTGCACGGCTGAGAAAGGGGGTCTGAGCCACCAGCTCTGCACTGTGCCTGCTTCCCAAAGGCCTGAGAGCCCAAAGGCGTGAGTGGTTTCTAGCTCTTCTGTGACCCAGCCAGTTTTCCAAAAGCTGAGCTCTCCTCCTATTTCCAGGTGCTCCCTTTCCACTCAAAGCATTGTCCCCAAACCCCACTCCCTGGGATGTTCCTAGCCCAGGCCAGGGGGAAACGCATTTTGCAGAAGATGGTGGGAGGGAGACGGTGTTGGCGGGGGTGGGGTGGGAAGGGATGGAGAGGCAAGTGCACAGGGCTGAGGCCCGAGCTGCACTACTCATTAGCCCCTGTGGTTACAAGTCTCTTGCAGCAGCCCGGGAAGCAGCCACACATGGCCCAGCAGATGGACATCACTCAAGTCAGAGCCATGAGTGGTGGCTGCAGGGATGAGCTGGAGAAGGGAGGGGAGCGAGCATCGCAGGGTGACCTTCAGGGCCCACGAGGGTGTGCAGAGCCTGGGAGGGAAAGCAGCAGGAGCGGGGGCGGTGGGAGAGGCCTGGGCAGGAGGTGGTGCTGGAGGCCGCCTGGAGAAGGGCCAGGTACTCACCTCGTCCAGCACGGCATTGCGCTTGGCCCGCTGTCGCTGCCGGAGCAGCACCAGGCCAGCGATGATGTCGGACGGCACGATGTCCAGGTCCCGGAAAAACTCCGCAAAGAGGTAGGCGATTTCCGAGTAGGCATCCTATGAGGTCCAGGGAGGCAGGAGGCGGTGGCGGGGGAGCAGGAGAGAGGATGAGAGACCAGGAGTGAATCCCCCGGGGCTGGGGGTCTGCTCTGTGTGCCCTTGTGCAAGTTCACCCCAGCCCGGCCCCGTGCAGCCCCGTGCAGCCCTGTGCAGCGTGAGCCTGAGGGCCCCGTCTGGGCTCTGGGCCCTGCAGACCTGGCAGTAGTTGCCATGGCCACTGCCCCTTCTCCATGTCCACCTCCCGGCCCTCCTCTGTCCTCAGGGCTCCTAGGGCAATCACCGTCTAGCACGCACAGATGCCAACTGGAGCCACTTCCTGCGCTTTCCCTAGACGCTAGGCATCAAGGCCTGCACAGCCCGCTGCTTTCTCCTCCGGCCTTTCTCTCTAGCAGAGAAGCCAAAACTGAGCTCCCGGCTGCTTCCTCTCCACTCTGCCCGCAGCTGCAGGCTCAGGGACCCCCACCATGTGCCTGGAGAAGGGTGTGATGCCGGGCCCCTCTGCTTCCCTGCAAACCTGTCCTCAGGACATGATGGCCCGTGTTCTCTGAGTCCTCCCTGCCTCATACCAAGCTGGAGTCTGAAACCTTGTCCCTAACCTGTTAGAAGAGGCTGTGGTGGGAATATGCTCAAGGCAACTGTGGCTCTGTCGCTCGGTTTCCCCTTGAGTGTCTGGCACTTGTAAGTGAAGGAAAATCAAGGGTTTCAAACTCAAGTGCCTAACAGGGCCACACAGAACCAGTTAGTGCTCAGCTCCAGCTGACTAGCCCTGCAAGGGGCCCAAGTTGCCAGATCCAGAAATAGAGAAGTTTACATAAATGTCCTGATTTTTCAATGTTGGCATCCAGTTCAAGTTTTAAGCAACACAGCAAAGGCTGAACTGGACCAAACCTGACCCCTGGGACCCCCGTGATGTTCTTTCTGCCTTTTCACCAGGTTCCAACCCGAGCCCCAACTCTGCCAAGTGCCCAGGAGGGCTGTGCATGCTCCCCATGGACCGTGGGCGTTGACCCCTCAGACCCCCTAGTCCTGTGGGGGTGCTCGCCAGGGAACCTTGAGACGGAGGGGTATTCTGACAATTAATTACTCACTCCACAGCTCACTAGGGTCTGCTGGTGAGAAGAAACCACTCAAGGCTTCCGGGGCTTCCATGGAGGTTACTTGCTGTCTGGCTCAGGGGGGAGTGGTCTCCTGATCTCACTGGCTCTGCCACTAATTAGCTGTGGGACACTGAGCAAGTCACTCCACCTCTCTGGGCCTCAGATGCCTGGTCTGCAAAACGAGGGCTAGGACCAGATGATCTCTAAGGGCCCTGCCAGTGCTGGGAGCTCCACCTCAATGACCCTGAGGCCCCCCCACCCCCACCAAAGGAAGGGCCGCCCACAGCTGACCCGTCTTTCCTCTGCAACTCCCTGGCACTGACAAGTCTGGTCCTCTGGTTACTTCTCAGAGTGCCCGGTGCAGAAGGCTGGCTATGCACACCTAGGACCATACTAAGCACTTCATAGCGCTGTCGGATCTTCCAGAATAATTTGCAGCTGGTTATATGCTGCTTTGCTTTGTCTTAAGGTTGCCCTGGTTTTTGAGTATCCCTTCTCCTAAATTAGACTCCAAGTTCCAATGGGGTCAGGGTAAGGTCTTCAAATCTTTCTGTTCCCTTGACAAAGCAAGGGGTCAGCTGTTTTGTGTGCAGGAGGGAATCGGCAGTGAATAACAGGTGCTCGTACCAGTAGGCTGTCACCTGGCTCCTGCTGGAAACCCAGCTCCCTTCTACCAGCCCCCACCAAGCTCTGCCAAGGAGGGAAGGCTCCTGTGTCACTGACAGCAGGACGTGAGCCCACGGGACGTGACCCCCCCCCCCTAGCACTTACTGACTGTGAGTCCTTCGTCCGGGTGCAGCAGAGGAACACTTTGAGCCGGCGTGACCAGCTGGTGGCCTGACCTTCCTCCAGGCGGTGCCTGCAAAGTGGGGGAGAGTTGGTATGTGTGAGGTCACATGGTTGGACCAGAAGAGTCGGGGCCCAGACGTTACAGAAACAGGGTGGCTTGTTCCCAGGGCCCCACCAATAGGTTCCCTGACAGGGGGTCTAGAGGAGAACAGGCCCAGGCCCAGCCGAAGCTGGGAGGCCAGCGACTGGGCTGTCAGCCAGCAGGGCCCTTCCTGGAGGGACTCCTGCTGGTCTAAGGTGGTGCGTTGATGGCCGAGGCCAGCACCCAGGTGCCCCGGTTTTGTAGCCTGAACACCAGCATGCCCTGGGGGCTTCAGGGCTGGGAGCCCAAACTGGGGGCTACTCTGTGACCCAGGTATCCAAAGGCTCAAACCAAGAGCCCTGGTAGATGACAGCAGGGCCCCAGGCCTCTCTGCCAACTCATTCCAAGGCCTACAGCAAACCCGTCGCAACCCTCAAAAGGATTTCAGATACAGTCTCTGTGCTTGGGGGGAAGTTTAAGGGCTGAGCGAGGCTCTGCATTACCCAGCTCCTTGGGTCTGTTACAGTGGAGGGGAGCGGGTGCCCAGCCTTCATCTGCACGGCTGGTCCCCGGCCATGCCTGCCCCCACCCCCAGCCCCTGTGGGGCTGGCTGTGCTGATGGGAGTCAGGTATCCAGGACTCTGCACCCAGAGGCAGAAAGATTGGCCAGTTATCCATAGAGGTCCTTCCAATGCTGAGTGCCCAGACTTCGGTGTGTTCTGAGCATGAAGATAACAGATCCAATATTAAATATGTACATTTCCAGACTGAGCAAGAGCAGCGTGGCTTGCTTTTGTGACATGTGCCCTCCTGCTGGCCCTGTCAGAACCTGATGCCGGGTGGTCAGGAGGGGAAGGCCTCGGTGGCCCTGAATATGTGCAAGGCACTTAGCGTCCATCAGGAGTGACAGGCCGGGCCCTCCTTCCTGAGCCTCTTGGCTCTTCTCTTCGGGAAAGGCCGCTTCCTGCTCCCAACTCAAGTTCCACAAGGCCAGGGAAAGCCACAGGGCCTTCCAGGGCTACAGGAGGGGGTTAGGAAAGGGTGCAAGGGGACCGCTATTGCTGGGACCTGTCAGCGCTAATGGACTTGGGCAGGCTTACATTCTAAACCAACGTCCAACCTGCCAGGGGCTTCATGAAGGGACAGCATGATGACCAAACTGGGCTCCCAGAGTATCACAGTTTTTTGGGTTTTTTTTTTTTTAAACTCTTTCTAACCTAATGGGGTTTTCAAACGTTCAAAGAGAATTTCCTTCTGGGCCTCTGGCCTGATGGAAGTGCTGACTGTACACTGTACTCCAGTATCGTTTATGACCACCAGGGGGCAGATGGAGAGGGTGACAGGTTTGGCCCAATGCATAAGTTAGGCTAGGGAGACATACTAAATCTGGACAGAAAAAGTTCATGGACCCAGCACCCGTCTGCCCTGGGACTCACTAGAGTGAAGGGAGGGCAGATACTCCTGCAAAGGTCCAAGGTCAAGGCTCTCAGAGAGTAGTGCTGGGAATAACCCATCTCCCAACCCCTACCAGATGTCACTAGAAGGAGAAAAGGGCCAAAGACTTAAACAGCTTCCTGACTTCCAGAAACTAAATTAGCCTGTCCGTGAGGCACAGCAGGGCTTGTGCGCATCCCTAAACCTGGAGGTGAATGAACGGTCAGCAGACTTGAAGATGACCTTGTTAGAAAAACTGTTGGTTTCAAGCAGAGGGAGGGTGAGTGGATAACAGCCTGAAAGGCGCTCATACTAACCAAGACATGGCCTGGGCCATCCTCCCAAGCCCCGCCCTAGAGCGGGAGAAACCGCAACAGGTCAGGACCTATAAGCTCTGACGCCTCTTACCCACACAGGGCCCAGAAATGGCAGGAAGACTTTCTAATTAAAATCACAGCCACTGCCAACCCCCAACTGCAAAGGCGTTGGCTGCTCTGGGTCCCAAAGGCAATTACCCAGAGTCAGGGAGGGGAGATTTTTTTTTTCTGGGGCCCCAGGAGCCCAGAAACCAGGTCAGGTCGGGGTGTGTGCTTGGAGTGAGCAAAATGGGACGGATGGTGGTGGCCAGCTGTGCTGGGAGAGAAAACGGGCTCTCAAGCCTTGGCTCTAAGACCTGGCATTTGGGGCTGGGAGGTGGCCCGCCTAGGCGTGGGTGTGGCTCTAGTTGCAGTGCTGAGGGGAGGGTGTGGGGGAGGAGCAGGAGGTGGCAGCTCAGGAGGCTGGGGGGTGCAGGGCAAGACTCCTGCTGGGCACAGGGGCCTGCTGGCTGAGGGCACCTGACCCCACTTGCCCTGGGCTGGAGAGGGAGTGCCAGTTCCACGCCCCACCAACTTGACCTGGGGCAAGTGACCTGCCTCTGGGGGATTCTGACTCCTAGCTGCAGAATGGGTCTCACGGGCACACCAGGGTTGGCAGAAGGATTAAATGGACTGATGGTAAAGGGGCTCAGCGCAGGGCCTAACTCTCAGCAGAAGCTCAACTAACAAAAAAGTAACTGTGATCCACCCTGGAAACCCCTCTCTCTTTCTTTCAATAAACAGGAATTACTGTGACCCTGGGTGCCCGCCCTCATTTTCTCTGCTATCGCACAGCTTTCCTCCTTCTTGAAAACACCCTATCCAGGAAGCCTTCCTTGATCAACCTCCTCCAGCCCCCTTAATCCCAGAGGCAGCCTAGTTTAGCAATTAAGAGCAAGGGCTCTAACGCCAGCCTGCCTGGGCTTGATCCCATCATGTACCAGCTGTGTCACCTCAAGCACGTTACATAACCTCTCTGTGCCCCAGTTTCTTCATCTGTATTATGGAGATGACGGTAACAGCTACCTCATGGAACTACCTTTACTTAATATAGACAATGATTGTCTCGGTTTACACGTGCCTCCTGCTATTACTGTTGCTGTTATTGGCACTGGCATTGAAAATGAGGACAATGATAACAATGGCTGCTATTTACTGAACACGAACCAAACGTGAGCATTGTGCTAACCACTTTGCACATATTATCTAATTTAAATCTCATAACAGCAGCGTGAGGCAGGAACTGTTGTTATTCCCACCTTATAGTCCAGGAAACTGAGGCAGGAAAAGGCTACGCCTTGGACTAATGCCCATGGCTCACGCAGGTTGAGATGCAGTTTGGAGGTGTGGGGCCAACCCTGCCTGCCTGTCAGCAAATCACGCGAGGGGGCCGCCCACTACCCGGCTGACTGACCGCAGGTTGTAGGTCCGCAGGTTGCGCTGCCTCCTCTTGGTGGCTCTCAACTTGACGAAGGTGCGGCCGGTGGGGTCAAAGACGCAGAGGACGGTGATGCAGACGCTGAGGATGACCACCCAGTTGCAGACGACCATCCCTGCCGGGGCAGCAATGGAAAGCAAGAGGTGGAGGTACTGGGGACACCTTCCTGGCTCAACAGCTCTGAAGGAAGAGGCGCTGGAGCGCCCTGCACCCAACTACTCCTGGCGCCCAACAGCAAGGCTCAGAAGCCTCTGACCCCATGGCTCTGGCCACATGGCCATCCCTTTGCTGAGACATGACCCCAAGGTCCACCCTTGGCACACAGCAGGCAGCTCTGGGTTTCCAGGGAGATGCTGAGGGCCCCTCAATTGTTGCCCTGGGCAGCTCCGTGCATGCTACTGCCCACCCCCCAGACTAGGGTTCCCTGAAGGTGGGTGGCAGACTATAAGGATGAAGGCCAGAGCCCCGCCCAGCCAACCTGCTGGGCGCCCTCACAGACACTGTTTCCCTCTGATGGTGCCCGAACTTCTATGCCCAGGGGTGGCTGACATACCGAGTGTGACGTTCTTGGCAGTGAGGTCGTTGCAGGAGGTGTAGTACTGAGTGAGCCAGACAATGCCCACGATGGCATAGATGAACTCGATCACCAGGATGGCTATAAGGAGAGCAGGGTCCTGGCTGAGGGACGGCCACCGTCTGCCCACCAGGAAGGGCCCTGGAACCTTGGCCTGGCCCCTCCTACCACAGGGCCTATAGCCAGCTCAGCAGTAGGGGCATCAGACCCCCACCGCCCCCTTCCCACAGGCCTCATGAAGGAGAGGGCCCAGGGAGCGAGGCTGTCCCCCCAACTGCATCCTGTCATAATGTGCCCTCAGGCTCCCGACACCTCCCTGAGAAGGTGACAAAAAGGCTGACAATGAAGACGCCTTTTCCTGTTCTTCCGGGATTTTAGAATTACCCACGAGCTCTGGAATCACACGTATCTTAGGCAAATTACCTAATATCTCTGAGCCTCTGTTTCCTTATCTGTAAAATGGGGTGACAACATCTACATTACACTACTGTGCAAGAATTAGGTGAGAGAGTGTTCATTTCAGGGAAATTGCTATTTCCCAGGAAGAGGCTTCTGGCACTTGAGGCAGGCGGAGTGGGGAAGCCCCTGCTGCCGGCTGCTCAAGGCACCCTGCTCAGGCCAGAGCATCCAGCCAGGGCTGAGCTGGGGTTGCAGGGAGTTGCGGGGGGGAGTTCAGTGCCCCCACTCCCAGGGCAGCATTGGAAGCCCCAGCTCCACAGGCAACACGGTGTGGCAACTAAGAGCCAGACAGCCTGAGTTCAAATCTCAGCTCTGACACTAGAACACTAGCTGCGTGACCATGAGAGAGTGGATTAGCCTCCTTGGGCCTCAGTCCCCTCATCTGTAAAACGAGACCAATACTAGCTCCTCCCGGAGTTCACATGGGAAAAGGGCTTAGCACAGATCACAGAAGCACAAGACAGGCTCACGAGGGACGACCAGAAGCCCAGGAGGCTGACACAGGCTGGGCCTCCCAGGAGCTGGTCCAGGCCCCTAAGGGCTACCCAGGAGGGAGGGCTGTCTGTAAAGGGTCACAAAGCAGCTGAAGAGATGCATACGGCCTAGAACAGGGGTCTGCGAATGTTTTCCGAAAAAGCCAGAGAGTCAATATCTCAGACTTGCAGGTCAATTCTCTGTGGCAGCTACTCAGCTCTGCTGTTGTCACACAGAAGCAACCAGAGACAGGAAGTACATAAATGAATGAGTGTGGCTGGGCGCCAATCAAACTTTATTTACAAAAACAGACATCGCGCCAGATCTGGCCCCCAGGCCGAGGTGTGCCCGCCCCTGGTCTAGAACAGAAGCCCAGTAAGTCTGCTGGCTTGCTGCTGGACCCTGGAGCGGGCACAGGGCCTGGCCCATAGCATGTGCCCTACAAATGTCGGTTCAATGAGTGACGGAACGCAGGAGAAGGGTGGAGGCGGGGGTGGTCCGGAGCAGCCCCCACCCAAGGCGGGCAGCCCTTACCCAGGCGCACGTAGAGCACGTACTGCATGGACTCGCGGGGCTCCGTGTAGAGGATGCCCCCACGCATGCTCAGCCAGATGATGGCCATCTCGGCGATCATGCAGCTCAGCAGAATGCCCAGGTAGCCGCGGCCGTGGTCCACCAGGTTCAAGGAGCAGGCCTCGTGCGGGTTGTAGACCAGGCCAAATAGCACCACGGACAGGATCACAAACCTGGGGGGGACGCGCATGTGAGGGGCCGGCAGCCTGTGCACCTCCCACGGCCCCACCCAGGCTGGACGCAGTGGGTACAGGACCCCTGTCCACCTGGCATCGTTTGAGGACACGGGCTGCCAGGGACAGGGAAGCAAGGGGGGGCAGCTCAGCTGCCAGCTGTGGGGAGACAGCAGCGGCAGCTCCACCAAGTGCTGGGCTCAGGTCTGGTGGTGGCTAGGTGGGGTCCCTGGGCTCCACGTGGGTATCACTTAAGGGGTTGTATGTTTCAGGCACCTCCTGCTGGGAGCATGACAGGGTCAGGGTAGGTGCTGGAAAGCCTCCTTCTAGCCCTTCCTCCTCAAACCCAGGCAGGTGGCATGGCCCCAAGACTCACCAGGTGGTATGCAGAAGGAAGAGGAAGATGGCTGGCAGGACGAGGTCATCGCTGCCCACAGACCAGCGCCGCCGGAACACCACGATCCCGGGCATGGCTGGTGGCTCTGCGGAGGCTCAGCGGTCCTGGCGCTCACCTCCTGAAAGACAGCAGAGGACCCTGTGGGTACCTGGGCCACTACGGCACCTAGGGCCACTGCAATCTGGCCAGGTGTGCCCAGCAGCGCAGGCATCTCTCCAGCCCCCACGGCCCAGAGGCTTCCAGGCTACCGGAAATGCTGACCATCCCTGGGCAGGACCCACATCTGTCCTATCCACCCCCCAGAGCCAACATAAAGGACCTCAGCAGCTAGACCCTAGCTTTGGCCTTACCTCTGAGGTCTCTCCAGCCCCTAAGACTGGCACCGGCCCCTTGGGATTGACTCTGCCTGGGGTTACCCCAACAGTAGCTTCTCAGCTCCATTAAAGGCCTGGGCTCACCCTCTGCCTCCCCTACATGGGATCAGAGGTGTTCCCCCAGCCCTCCTACTGCCTTTCCTCAAGGAGAACTGGCCCAGTGCATGCGGTCCTTGGGGTGGGGTGGGGGCTTCCAAGACCTAAGCATGAACCTATCCCCTGGCACAAGCCGGGCAGGGCAGGTGAAAGGCTGAAGGCCTTGGGGGAGGTGGGAGTGCCCAGCACATAGTAGGTGCTCAGTAAATATTTGTTGAATTAGGTCTTCCTTTTCTCACTGTGTTACAACCCTGGGAGTATGCTCTATGACTTGTTTTTCCACCCATCAGACAGAACTCCCAACCAAAGCTACTCCTCTTGGTGGGGAAGGACATCGTTAAGGTCCAGGGTCAAGAGCATGACTGGGGCACACAGCCCCCATACTGGAGACGCAGTGGGTGAGCCCCGAAGAGTTACCCACCCTCCCGGCAACCAGACCCCCCATGCCCACCCCGAGCCAAGCAGCCTTACTGCCCAGCTCCCAACTCTCTGAAGTCACAGAGTTCCAACTAGCCACAGGCAAGCTAAGGAGTGCCCAGAAACTGGGGCCCTACTCCCTAGAGCCTGGGGAACAAGGGTAATGGAGCAGACCAGGAGGCTCCCACAAGAGGTTAGTCCAGGAGACCCCAATGAGGGGCTGTCGAGCAGCCCTGCACTGAACTATGCAGAGGAACCCCTGCTGCGGAGGGCTGGGTGCCCCACTGGTGGGCAGCGGCTCCCAGGTCGACAGAGGCTTACATGGCACCTGGTCCAGGGGCAGGTGGCAAGTCCTCCTCTCCCCGTGATGGCTCCAGGGAAACCGAGTATCTGCGGAAACGGGCATCACTCGGGAAAGAAGCTGGCAAGTCTCCCCCCGCTGGTGGGCACAGCCGACAGGGTGGGCCAGGAGACGTGGGGCCGACCGGCATGCCCAGCCTGGCCCGTCTTCATCTCCCTCTCCCTGGTGCAGCCACTTCATCTAGCCACTGCCGAGCTGCTCCAGCAGAGCTGGCGGCCTGGCAGGCGGGCTGGCGGGCTAGCCTGCCGGGGTCGTGCCTACTCCTCCCCCCACCCTCAGGAAGTGACATCATCCCACTCTCTCCAAGGAGGAGTCGGAGCGCGGATTCTGGGAAGCAAGGAGAAGGATGGACAGCACGGGAGCCGCGTGGTGGGGTGGCCGGGAATGGGGGTCTGGGACTGCCGGGGGCTGGGTCTCCGGTGGTGTGTCTGTGACAAGTGACTGACAGCACCAGCTTCAGTTAGAAAGCACGGGATGGGAGGGGCCAGGACACTGTGGGTGGCAGCAGGGCTGGGGCATGACAGAGCTGCCAACAACTGGGGTTTTGCCACCAGTCCTCTACAGCCCCTCCCTGTCTCCAGGTGGCTCTCAGAGTGTAAGGTGGAGCATGGGGTCGGCTCAGGGGACCCCCACACATGAAAGGAATGATGAGAGGTCCCCGAGTCAGTGCGGTGCTGTAGCAGGCAGTCCCAGCAGGTGCTGTAGCTCCGCCTCAGGCTCTAATCAGGCCAGCGGAGGAAGGGGAGCACCAGCCCCGAGGCGGGGAAGGACCCTGCCCCTGCCACCAGCCCAGAATATTTGGTTTCCAGGTACGCCTGAGAGGGGTGTGGGGGGAGGGGCTTCCTAATCGCCTCTCATCCCCAATCTTCACCTCTTGTTAAACTCACAGATGCCATTCACGCACCACTCTCAAACTGGCACGCAGCCCCAGTGTGCACGTGGCCCCGCCCTCCCCACTCCCAGGCAGAATTGGGGCCACAGGTGCAGCCAGCCTGGCAGAGTGGCTGCAGATCTGTCAAGACACCGGAGTGATAGCCCGAGACCAGCAGCCATGGTCAGTGCCAGTGCCCACCTGGATCACGCGGACCCCAGTAGGTGGTGCCCTGTGACAGGCCTGGGGACCACGCCCTGGGCCCTCCAACCTGCGCCTGGGACCAGCCCGTTACTGCAAAATCCCAGGAACAGTGCCGGGAGCGCAGACTGCTTGGCTTTGAACCCGAGCTCCACCACCCAATGTGTGACTTCCTAGTTGTGCCTGTTTCCTCATTTGTAAACTGCCGATTATCCCCACCTGCTCCAGTTCTGGTGCGGACCACGTGAGAGAACGTCTGCAGAGGTCCTACCCGTGCTGGAAAATGCCGGTCTTAGGGTCTTAGCGAGGTATGTGAACCCCTGGTGGACCAGCCGCCCCTCCCCCAACTGAGCCAGTGGGTTCTCCAGCTGGTCACCAACAGGTCATGGTCTAGGGTGGGGTGACAGGGCCTGTGCTGCTGCTGGGTGGAGGATGGGACAACTCCAGTCCATGTGGATTCATGAATCTCACGGCTGCTATTTTTGAGGGCCTGAAAGACGTCCTTTCTCTCAAGACCCCAGCCCTTCACAATGGGGGCCTGTTTCCCTGCTGAAGATGTGATTTCATCTGGAGGAAATGTCTCAGGAGGAGGGAGGACAGAGGCCACTTCCTGGTCTGGGGCTACCACAAAGCACCTCCTCTGGCTCTCCTCCCAGGGCACAGGGTCAGTGCCATCCAACCACCACAGTGTGGACATACAGCCTCCCTGCCCCGTCACCCCAGCCCAGTGCCTCTTCCAGGGCAGGGGCAGTGCCCCCACCCGCAGGGTATAACAGGGGCGCTGCTGGGGGTGCCCCATGCCTCTGGCTGGGCCCCCAGCCCAGGCAGGTGTGAATGAGATGCCAGGACCCCCCTCACATGGATGGGATCACTTAAGTGGTCCCAGGGGGGCCCTTTATTTCCCCACCCACAAAACCCAACTTCCCTGCTGATGACTCAGGCCCCTAGGTTAAGTAGGAGCCATTCTGGAAGTTCCTCTTTCTGAAAATGCAAAACTCTTCTTGAAAATACACAAGCTGTCCCCTACTTTAAAAACCTTCATGGCTCCCTGTGGACTGCAGGATAAAGTCCAAGCCCCTCAGACAATGGCTAAGGGCATCTCAGTCATCAGCAGGTGGGCTGTGCAACCATGGGCAGGTGCCTTGCCCTCTCGGAGTCCTGGAGCAGAAGATAATCCCCAACCCCTGCAGACAGACTCAAGCATCCCACCCTCAGCTAGCGAGTTCCTTCTGGCTGGGGAGGTGCTCCAGCTTTTCACATTGCCCCACTCTCCTTTTTCTGATCCCTCCCAAACTTGCTGTTCTTCAAAATCACCTCACTGCAAGGTTCCATCCCAGTGCCTCCGCCAGGCAAAACCCTATTCATCTTTCTAGGCCCCAAATCACCTCCTTTTTGAAACCCTCCCTGACAGCCCCCGGCCACCCCACCCTTCTCAGGCAGTGCTTGCTGTCCCCTTAGGGGATCCCGGAGCCTCACTCCAGTGCAGCCCTGGGCACACTGTCTTACAGCAAACTTGCCGATTCCTTGCTGCCCATCCCTGCCCCAGCTCAACCGAGAGTCCCTGAGGGCCAGACCTCGCAGTGTCTTTTCATCTTCACACCCCACCTCGTGTCCCTGGAGTGTGAGCACATCCAACCTCCAACCCGGCCCCTCTCCTCCCAAGCAGCCTCGGCTACCCCAAACCACCACTCCATCACCCTGAAGCAGCCCCAAGCTCCGCCTGGGGAAGCTCCCTCCTGTCATAAGAGTCCTCTTAGCTCACACACACCCTTGGCTTTTGGGGAAGTGCCCCACCCCAGTGCCTTCCCTGCCCGTTTAGGGACAACCATGTCCCCTCCTCTGGCTATCTTAACTGTCCTAGGGCTTCAGTATTTTCATCTGCAAAACAGGGATTACCCCCCGCCCCCAGGAGGCTGTAAGGGAGAATTGACAGGGATGATGTCACTAGAAGGTTTGCACAGGCCCTGGCAGACCCCAAGCCGCTATTCGTGGTGGCCATCATATTAATGGAGCTCCTGAGGGGCTTTCTGGAAACTTCTTGGCAGGGGGATCTGCGATGAGGTGCTGGGGACTGTGGTGCCGCTCATGACTGGCTCCCACTGAGGGGAAAGGGGACCGAGCAGATATAAGCCCTGCCGGGTAACACGCACCCACCGTGGGCCTAAGGGGCTGCCGGCTGCCATGCCCCGAGCTGGGCCTCATCCCCTGTGCAAGGCTCTGGGAGGTTTCAGGGATAAGAGCCCCTCAGTAGTAGGTCCCAGCTGATGAGTGCCAAGAGCTCCCAGGGGAGAGGAGGGAGTGGACTTCTGGCCACGTGGAAGATGGGAGGTCACCTTGCTTGCCTGCACTGGAGCCAGGGCACCAAAGTCAGGCGGAACCTGGTGCCCACAGGGGCAGGGGACAGGATGATGTGCTGTGGGAGGCCCCAACAGTGCCACCTCCAGCTTCTAGGTCAGGTGCCTGGGGCACCTGAGCCCAGGGATGGGCTGCAGATCGAACCTGAGGAGATGACAGCCAGGCCCAAGCCACAGGAATATGTCTGACATCACCTGCTTACCTCCTGTGTCCCAAGTCCTGGACTAATCACCTTCCGTCCTCACAGCAGTGATGCAGGTGACAGCATCACTCTCACGCCTCATGTTCTAAAAAAAAAAACTGTGTCTGAGTCCTGACTCTGTGACCTTGGTCAAGTACTTAATCTCTCTGTGCCTCGGGTCCTCATTTCTAAAATGAGGCTAAGAACCGTACCTGCTTCAGAGCTGCCACGAGGGTTACATGAGTCATATTCTTAAGACAGCACCTATCACACAGTAAGTGCTCAGCAAATGCTGGCTCTTCCACTGTTGTCACTATTGAAGGATGAGGAGATTGAGGCTCAGAGACTCAGCCCCAATACCTCCCAAGGTGCAGGAGGCTGATCAGGCAGGAGGCACAGGTCCTTCCTGCTGCCATCCAAAGCCCGCCTAATGCAGCAATTGCAATTAAAAGGGGTCTCGGCAACAGTCCAGCCACCCCCTTTCATGGGTGAGGGAACTGAGAGGTTGGGAAAAGCCCTAGAGGCTCCTGAATTTCCCTGCAGACAGAGTCCCAGAGTCCCTGAGCTGGCCACTCCCTTCTCCTTCCTCACGACACACCCACTCACACTCCCCAAGAGACACTACCATTAACAGAGTGTCACACCAGGGAGCCTGGGCTGAGGTCTTCTCTTTGGTGCTCTTGAAGATGCATAGCCCTTTGAGAAGCAAACAAAATCCACATGAGCTCTCTGGCTGGAGATCAACGTGCAGGCAGGCAGCAACCATGTGCACGGTTTCAGAGTTATCTACGGTTGGCTCTCCACCTCCCAGCAGGCAGGGTCCCCATTGCTCTGCAGCTCGGCTGCGGAAGGAGACAAGCCTCTCGGACCCAAGCCCACCTTCCCCGGGTGCCCTGGACCTCTGTGCGCTGAGGCTGTTGACTTGCCCCAGGTCACACAGCCCTGTTCCGGAGCCCCGGTCTTAACCATTACACACGTTGCTTGTAAGGAGCTAAATGCCCCTTCTCAACCCAGGAGCTGGCTTCAAAGGGCCCCTTGCCCAGTGAGGAGGCAGGGCCTCGGGGCCTATGAAGAGCTCTCTGGTCCTCATCACACCAGGTGGGAGAGTGTGGGTATCGCCCCATTTTGCAGATGAGGAGAGCTGAGCCCAGGGTTGTTCCACCGTCTGTCTTGAGGTGAGCGGGCTGTGGAGCCCGAAGACAGCACAGAGCTAAAACTGTGTGTCGCCTCATTCCAGCTTCACCCGCCAGTAGGGGTGTTACCTCACAGCTTTTCAGATGGAAGAAACTGAGGCTCAGAGAGGCACAATGTTTACCCGAAGATCATGCAACAGGGACGAGGCAGGGCTGGGGCTTCACGCAGCCTGGGAGTTACTTGAACCAGCCTCTGCCATCACTCTTGACTCCTTATTCCCACGCACACAGACACAAGAGCCACACGTCCCTTCCTCTCCGAAGGCCCTTCTCCTTCCCAGGTCCGTGGCCCCACACTGCGGCTGGGCTCTGGAAGGCACCAGAAGGGGGAAGGCGGCAAGGGAGCTGACAGAGAGAATGCACGCGTGGGCTGGGGGCCGAGTGTGCCACCAGCCTGTGCCCGGGTGTGCTCCACCCAAGTTAGGGGCTGAAAGCTGTTGCTTTTCTCAC